GCTTTTTGTCACAACGGTAACTGACTAATTGGAGGGTCGGCTGGCTTGCCGAACAACCTCCTCGTGGTGCCAGCTGGGTGGTTCGGGATTTTCCCGTTCCAGCAAATGGTTCGGCGGCAGTGTTCCAGGACGTGGTGGGTTTTCGCCTGGCAAGCGTTCTCCCTATAAAAAGCCACATATGTCCGTTTAACAACACTGTGACGTGGCGGACGTGACTCGCCACTAAATAAAGTCACTGCCCCTTGCTTCATCCTGGCGAAGCATTGTATTCCAGCAACCATATGCTGTACTTCTGGGGAGCATTGGGCCCCTGTTTGACAAAGGAACAACGAAAGGCGTATGAACTGAGCAATCAGTCACCGGCTCCCAATGGGCGCGATTCCCTGAATTCGCTCCGCTGCCTTGCGGGTAGGCTATTCAGCCAAAGGCTCGGGGTGGTGTCCCCTAAGTCAACACCCTAATTCGGCTTGGGCAACCGGGTAGTATCTCGCCCTCTGAGGAAACCATGGACATTGTTGTGTTGTGTTTTATTTTACTGTTTCTGTACCTTCGTTTGAAACCCATGGTTTCTGATGGCATTATGTCTGTTAGCAGACTTTTGCAAATATATATATATATATAATTGGAGGGTCAAGTTTGGATTACACGTGAGATGAGATGAAATTACATCGAAACGCGTCGTGGTTGTGCAGTGTTTTCGGGTGGGCAATACCCAATTTCCATCTACTTTGAATACGGTACCCGTGATCGCAGTGACTAAGGTTCATTTCAATGTGAATCACAGTCCATTACATTGAGGTTGCGTGTCGCAATCCAATCACACAACGTGTAATCCAAACTTGACCCTCCAATTAGTCATCTACCGTTGTGACAAAAAGCATTGCCCATCGTGACGCGGTAGCCAAAGGGGTAGTAGTGTTGGCTGCTATTCCAGTGGTCGTGGGTTCAAATCCTGCTGTCTCCACCTGATGAGATGAAATTACATCGAAACGCGTCGTGGCTGTGCAGTGTTTTCGGGTGGGCAATACCCAATTTCCATCTACTTTGAATACGGTACCCGTGATCGCAGTGACTAAGGTTCATTTCAATGTGAATCACAGTCCATTACATTGAGGTTGCGTGTCGCAATCCAATCACACAACGTGTAATCCAAACTTGACCCTCTAATTAGTACTTCCGCTAATTCGTACGAGTTATACCAACCAATGCGAAAACGGTAGGTTCGTTTGTTCTTAAGTGGATTGTGGAACCGTTTTAGTTGAAACAGCCTGATTCACCCTGTATTTTCTACTGTGACAACGTCCTTTGAGCCCAACTGGTCGGCATCCCACCGGGCACCGTAACCCGCGTCAGTAAGGCCAGCCGGACTGCGGAGCAGAGCAGAGCCCAGTGGTTACTTGCAGATTCTTCAATTCTCGTTCATGAGGTTTGCACTGACAGTGGAGTACGTTTCCTTGACAATGTTATCAGCATGCGTGAATCACCCTAAGATCATCGTTTCTCGACTACTGCGGTACGTGAGCGACTCAGTTTGGTCCGTCTAAAATCTGAGTACATCTCTGTGACTGAGTATTCCCGGACGTGATGCGTAATCGAACGAACCCAGCAATTAATATTCGTAACACATTGGTCGGTGTACATGCTTTGTGGCTATTTGCTGACCTAATAGAAGGAAGCAATGTAATTTACAATGTGCTACTGTGACCGAACCCAGAGATGATGACTGGAGAGCACAACAGATTGTGTCCCATGTGCAGATAAATGTGAAGACACACCGTCACCCAGACTGGTTGCTCATGTTCTATAAAACGCTGTAAAGGATTTGTATAATGTACTGTCTAAATCGAGACGACATGTCAAAGCGTGATCGCGTTGCGACGCAGGTGGGTCTGGGTTCAACAATCAATGGCACTTCCTAGTGTGCACTCGTCCGATATCTTTTTTGATTGATTTGAGGTTGGACATAACAAATAGTATGTACGCCTTCACGTATACGCATCAGCTGGGGCGGCAGAGTTGCATACACGGAAGTTTTGCGCCGAAGTGGGATGTATGCAGTGGACTGCATACTTTTGCTGAGACACCTGAGATGGCTCGGTCATGTGAGCCGTATGGATTCGACTCGGATACCGAAACAACTCTTATACGGTCAGCTGAGTATTGGGAAGTGGCATGCTGGGAAACCAAATTTACGTTACCAGGACATGATTAAAGTGAGCCTCACACGTTCTAATCTTGATTGCAGATCATGGGAATCGAAGGCGGTTGATCGGCGTGCATGGCGCGATCTAATCACGAAGGCAGTTGCTGAAGTGCGGGAGAAAGCCCTTATGCATGCAGAGAAGAAACGGAAAGCGCGGAAGCGGCAAGCGCTGATGAATTGTACTCCATCGACATCAAGCGCATGTTGCTGTAGAACATGCGGCTTAGTGAACCATGAGCGGGGCCACTCGGGACTACTACCGAAGCGACGACGGGTCCTGCAGAGAAGGTAAGCAGAACCGGCGCAGCGTTTGTTGGTACGCTGCATTCGATTTACTAACCGCTACTACAATCACATTGTGCTTTGTTCGCAGATGACTTGAAAGTGTGGAGAGTAATCCGCACACTCAATGATTGCGATTTACTTCAGCAGGATCTCGACCGCCTCTCAACATGGTCTGCAGAGGTTAACCTTCCGATCAACCCTGCCAAGTCGCAATTCATGAGGTTGGGTAAGTGTGATCACGGCCGAACGTACACAGTGGCTGGACAACCGTTACATCCCGCTCCTTTCGTGCGCGACCTCGGTGTACTCTCACGCTGCGACCTAAAGTCCATTGACAACACGAATAGGCTGTACCAAAACAGCCTTCGTATGCTTTGGGCTCTCAGGCGCAGCTTTAGCACTTGGTCCGAAGAGATTGCCACTCGCCTCTTCGTCTCAATAATACGACCAATGCTGGAGTACGGCACTCCCGCATACTGTCCCATCACCCGGGGCGAAGTAGAAAAGCTTGAGCGGGTGCAGCATGTAGCCACTAGGCTGATTCCCAACTTACGAGGTATGCCATACGAAGACCGATGTAAGAAACTAGGGTTATACACCCTATCTTATCGTCGGCTGAGGGTTGACCTCATCATGACGCACCGAATATTACATCTGGGTGATTACCCCATGTTGAGACAACTACTTCATCTGCGCACACAAAGCTGCACGCGAGGACACCGGTATAAACTTATCGTCCCGGATTTGAAGCGGGTCGCCCATCAACTCTGTTTCGAACGAAGAGTGGTGAATGTCTGGAACGACCTGCCTCAGCATATAGTAGAAGCGAACACAGTGGCTAAATTCAAGATGCTACTAGACAAACAATTTGCAGAGGCAAAGTACAAAGAGCGAAACGATAAATAAAGAGTTCATGTCCGAAAACGACGAATGATGCAGCTACACAGAGCAACCTCTACTCGCTGCTTCCCACCAGTTCCCAGTTCCCAGTTCCCGCGTGCTCTCATGCTAAGTCTCTTTATTTCAGGTGGTGAGTTTCCAATTTTGCCTTAATGCTTTTCTTTCTCATATAAATATCTACCTGTACTCTAATCCATTAATTTGCACACATCACTTCAGCCAATTGTATTCGATTTCCATAACATTTTGGCGATCGTGACATTTCCGTAAAGCATACTTTCTGACCTCGTGAACTTATCTAGGATTCGTTCGTAAACAAATTATTTCATATGCTCATTAGCGTAAGGTTTATGTCACCGTTTTCTTATGCATTAATCGAGTTATTTTCTTTGTCTCCCTCTCTCTCTCAAGTGATTGGATGTTGTTTGGTATCCCCGGTGTGGCTGCGCTTGATGTGCATGTTTCCAAGATGCCTACCAGTCTATTATCCGTTATCCGTCTATTATCCTGTACTTGGCCGGTGAGTTGATGCAACTGGGCCTGTTGTTTCGCGACCACCGACAGGACTCGTTGTTGCCGCCGTAGTGTGTCACGTTCTGAGGTACATCGAGGGGTTGAAGAAGTGAGGAGATAAAATTGAAAATGCGCAGAACTCTAGTAGATCACGTGAGGGTCGAATAGTCTCGTTTGCTTAGAGATGGATAAACGGCGCGGGAACAATGAAAGCATTCAGAGAACCTACATGGTTCAAAGGGTAGTTGGGTTAATGCGAGACGGAAGAGAAAATGAAAGGGAGAAAGGACGCAAAAAGAAAGTAGACGTAAACAAGATGTGACAAACGCGGCCGAGTGAGGAAAGCTATGAAAGCGGACCCTTTTTCACGTGACACAGCGTTCTGGATGCACAGCGAACAACGGGCTCCTGTAGGCAAAAAGTCAGTTTTTAACAAGTCACCTAGGGTAGCTAAGGTAATACATTTATTACCAAAGGTCGTAAGTGCCAACAATTTAAAAGCATAAAAATGAAATGCTCTCGAGACTCCTCAAAGAAGGGCAACCAAGAATGCCAGGGACCTCTTTCACCTCCCCTATCAGCTTATACTGAAGTTGCTAAGAATGTACAGCAGTCGATATCAACGTTTGCGGGTGGATCTCATAATGGTTTAGCAGATGCTAAAAAACCCAAACCACATTTGCTGCTCGCTGCTGGAATTGAACCATAACACTACAACCTAAAGGGCCATCCTCTGAAACTGACAATACCGTATAGCTCGTTTGAATGCGGCAGAAATATCTTTTCCATGTGAGTGCGTCAGTCTTGGAACGCTCTCCCAAATTATGTCATCTGCCCCCAATCTGGCGATGATTAAAAAAACGACTTGCCGATGCGTTGTCTCATTTGCATCTCATTTTATAACTTTGTCGTCTAGGAGGCTACAAAACGCAATCAAACCGTATCTTACCGAATTCCCAACCAATGGATTTATGGATTTATACTTTTAATACACGAACATCTCCGCCGTTCTACATAACTCTATGGTGAGTTCACCAGAACGCTTTTCACTTCATTATGAAATATTATTTTCACAGTTATTTCCATCCCACGAGACTTGTTAAGCATTGCTTTTTGTACCCGTAATACAGCATTATTTCAATGTTCCATTGAAACGGTGTTCTACTGACATACTGTTAAATGAAGATGGGAACTGTGAGTCCGCACACAAAACAACGTAAAAGGGTCTACAGAAACACTCAGTCCATACACTGCGTTCCGTGTAATCGTGCGATATATATATTTCGACGAATATGCAGGTACAAATTTTCAGCAAAAGTAGTTAACTGTGGCACTAGTGTCGTAAAATGTATGAAACAAAAATGCAAGGAAGCAAGATAGAGCAGTGCCCAAGTGTTTTCTGAAGATAGCTACGTAAGAGTACAAACGACTGATTACAAGTGATCATTTACGAGTCTGACATTATGTCTAAATTTCAACAGGTGGTTGTGGCATATGTGACCGCGTCATCATGTAGGCGATGATAGTGTCCGAATCAAACACCGGGTATCCTCAGTTTATCCAGTAATAGAGATGAGGTCCTTAGCATCGCCGCGTCATGCTTCAGTCAAGACTACAAAGCTGGGATAGTATCCTCGACGTGCGTGTAAAAGCAGAAACTTGTATCATGAGAAAGACGGGTAGGATAAAACTCCCGAATACCTTCCCTCACGTGTTGGTTACCAGTTTCTATAGTGAATTCAGATAGTTTTGAACGGTTCGGGTTATTCTGTGACAGTACACCTATGTGCAACATGACTGTAAATATAAGATGTACATCCTTGACGCAGTGATGTTTCAATATTGACCTCGGCCATCAGCATTCGTGTTGAAGCCGGTTTCGCCCGTGGTATGTTATTTAAGGCAGGACGAGAAAAGCGCAGCGCGCTTCAACGAGACACACCATTCCTGACACAATCTAAGGTTTGCAGTTAGTCATCGCAATTTATCCACGTGATAATCTAAGTGCCAGGCGAAAATAAGAAGCAAAATCAAGGATGATGCTCCTATTTGAAGTTCCAAAGCATTGATTGAGATAAAACATGCTTTGTACTTCAAGATATTGAAATATGCTTAGAATCGATAGAGAACCCATGATTTTAGAGCGGTCTGAAAACAACCGATTGTGTTCAAAACATTCTGAAAACCAACTACTAAACAACTTCACTTGTTTACAAGACTTGTTCATGGGATATGCCACACGTCATGGGGTTTGGACAAAGATCCCTCAGTATAAACTGAAGCTGGTTTGCTTGATTTTGGGATGAGCGAAGAAAAGTAATTTGATGGTGCTAAGAGGAACATTGAGGCGCAGTTCAAAAGGTATAGGATAGGATTTAGGCAAAACGTCTTCGTATGAATTGTATTCCAGAAAGGTAGACTGGAAGACGAAAGTGTCTTTTTCATCAGTTTGGCAGTGTACATGACGTCGAATACAACTGGAAGAAAAGGTAGATTAGATGTGTACAAACAGGACTTGGTTAGCATCATCCGACCGGCTTAGGTATGTTGGTTTAAAAGCACGATAGGCGCAGGGGAATAGAATAGAAAATGGAAAAACATGGGAACCAGAGATGAAGACGTATGAGGTAGAATCGGTTCGTTTCACCTTGTCCGTTCACATATTTTCATGAGGGACAGGATGGATGTGTGGCCGAGTAAAATGCGGGCCAACTATCAACGCGAATGAGGATGGATAGATTTAGCCAATGTGAATTTTTCGGCGTCGCTCGTTGTAATATGGCTGTAATGTATGTACGCTTGGGTAAGCAGAACATGAAGAATGGAGATAGATGTTCGTTTGCAATTGTTATACACCTCACCTTTGTTGGTGCAGCATTAAAGTATGCGTTACCGAGTAAAAATGTAAAGAGGGTCAAGTGAAGAGGAGTAAAGGGGATTCTGTCAAGTTGTCATTGCGAATTTTTATTGCACTTCTCCAGGACTAGCCAAGTAGATATGCTGTCCATAGCACATTTTGTGTCTACTTGTAAGCACCAAACACACGTCTCATATCCCTACAACTAGTGTTTTTTACTGTAATCTAACTGAAACAATGTTTTTACGAAATTCAATGTCAAGCATTTCGTGGTTGCTTTTTGAATTTTGTTTACGATCCACAAGCTTTTACCACAAATGGGAAGCGGTTCGAAATTTCGTCGTGTTGCTTCAGGTAAAATTATCTTGAAGTTAGTTTTCGTTTCCATTAGGAGATTCGAACACCTAAAATGGTTAACTGAATGAATGGTTATATGTGCTTATGGACCAAATCAAGCAGGGAATTTAAGCCCAGCTGCATACGTTTATGCCAGTGGCTCCAATTGCAGCATTTGTAAACCCTCGGATGTGATTGGTTTGGATAAGGGATGGAGACTTAGTACGTTTTCCAGACACATGCTGTCGCGTTTCCTAGTTTGTGGAAATCGTCAAGCAGTATTTCAGCGCAAGGCAAATGTAGACCTGAAATAGATTCAACAGGATAGTGCATCGCGAACGGCTTTTATATGAGCTTAGTACTTCCGCGTGCAGGACTATTATAGATGCAAACTGTTCACCAAAATTCAGGGCTAGTAAAAAAGCAATTGTACGTAGTCTGCGCGGTAGCTGAACCGTTTTGTTGATCGGATAAGCTAAATCGGTGCGCTGCGTAAGAAATTTGCAGAAACAAATCAACCACTGATGACCCATAAGTAGCTTATATTATTCACAAGTTCGCTCACAAGGCTTCCGCTTGCGCACCACCACACAATACTCAGTATGCACGTCAGCTAGTGGAAAACACTTCAGCTACTGTGCCGCAATACCTACAAAAGGGAATGAAATGCAACAGCTACAAGCCAACTGAGCCACCGGTAACGGATGGGCGTCGTTCCGATAAGCTACCTGCTGACTACTATGCAGCAGAAAATGAAGTAATTTACTATGCAAAATTATAAAATACTAAATAATGAGATCGTGGTTGGAGGGGGAGGCTAAGAGGGATGGAGTGGGACAAAGAAACTCACAGCACGAACGCCACTGAGGTCAGCTCCTAGCCATATCAAAAAGTGCATCCAGCCAAACGTGTTCATCGTCTTTCGGACCCCAACCAGGGAGCCCAGACACTCCAACTGAAGCCAGTTCAGAAGTGAGAGTCTTCATTACTCTCGACCAAGTCATCGCTTGGCCGCCCCTACTCTTCTTCCATCCACACCCCTGGTGCGCAAACAACGCACCTCGCGGGAGTCGGTGGGCTGGCATGCGTAATACGTGGCCGAGCCATCGGAGTCTGGTGCGTGAAATAACGTTGCTGAGCAGTTCATTTCCTTTTCCAGTGCCGTAAACAAGGCGTCGAACACGCTCGTTGCTCACACAGTGTTCCCACCAAATGTGAAGTAAACTGCGAAGGCACCGGTGGTCGAACGTAACTAGCCTCTTTATGTCCGCTGAGCTAAGGGGCCAGGTTTCACAACCGTACAGTAGGGTAGAACGTACCGCTGCATTGTACACTCTAGCCTTTAGAGCGAGAGTGATGTCGCGCCGGCGCCATAAGTGGCGAAAGTTAGTAAAAGCGCATCGAGCTTTTGCTATACGGTTCGTGATGTCATCTTCAATCCCACGGGCGCTGATACAACTTCCTAGATAGTTGAATTTTTGAACGACTTTAGCTGATCCCCACCAAGGGTCGGTGCAGGAGGCGGTCCAGGCCAATCTTGGAGGAACGCTTTGCACTTCGATGGTGCAAAGCAAAGCCTGAAGCGGTTGACAGCCAGTGCTAATCTATTCAGCGCGGCATGGCACGCCTGAGAGCTGTCACAGATTAGGGCAATATCGTGCACCAGCCCAAACATGTAAATCTGTTGGAAAACTGACTTTCATTACATAGAATACCCCCGAAGTTGACCACCTCTATGCCCCACCACCTCTCCAAGTTGACCGTTTGACATTGCTTGAAGGTGCACCATGTTATGGATCCAGACCTCAGTGTGTTCACCACATCGAGTGGTCAAATTATGTGAGTTGCACTGTGAAAACTCCGATTGATAGGTTGACAATTTTACAATGT